ACACAATGAATCTAGATCTGAATGTCATTACTAAAGCACTGAATTCCCTGAAAAAGAGATTCTCTGAGTGAAAATCTTGATATTATAAGCATCAAGCTTGCTTCAACTTCAGATGTTAAAATCATAATATAAAAGATTACATACAGCATGCACAGTCAAGAGAAGTAAGAGAGTTAAAAAACTAGCAGAATCAATAAGCTCAGAGACACTCACTGATATTCTGTGAAAAGTCTTTGAAGTGAAAGAGATGCCTGTGTTAGATGATTCTCTGAATTCTATGAATGTCAAGAGAAAGCAGGCTTCTGAATGAGATGTGAGTGAGAATGATGAAGTGAATACTCATCTCAATGTCTTAAGACCTGAAATGTTAATGTATAAGAGACACTTGAATAAGAATTGAAAGATGGCTATAAAAGTGTTAGCAGACACAGAAGCTTCTATATAATATATTAATAATTATATAATCTGAAGACTGAAAGAGATTTATCAAGTGAAGAATTTCTGATATATATGAATATCTGATAACTGATATTTGATATCATCTGTAAGAGTAAGAGTTCTCTTGCACTTCAGAGAATGATCTTGCTATATTTGAGTGTGAGAGCTGCAGAATGTGAAATACAATCTTATTCTCAAACTTGATTGATTTCAAAGATTTAATTCACAGATTCAATGATGTACATGTTATATGCAGTTGACTGATAAAAAGAAAACAGTTCATATGATTCTACTAACTGATATAAGAAGGACATTTCACATCTCTGATATAGAAGAGTTAAATCTGCTTATGTATTAATAAATAAAGAGAATGATTTACAAGATCTCATCTGAAAGTATTCTGTATATAATACAGAATCTGAAAGTGAAGAAAACTAAGATAAAGAATATACAGAAGAACAAGTGTATGAAGAAGCTTCTGAAGAAGTATAAGAAGGTCTTTCAAACAGATCTTTCACTGAAATTGCTGCCAGAATGAGGATTTGTACATGAGATTGACACAGAGAATGTGAAATCAGTCAATCAGAATACATACTCTCTGTCACAAATGCATCTTGAAGAACAGAAGTAGCAGATCACAGACCTTCTAAAATATGATCTCATACAACTCTCATCAAGTGCGTGAGGCTTCTCAGTTCTATTTGTGAAAAAGATGAATGAGAGGTGACAGATGTGTATCAATTATCAAGTACTTAATAAACTTATGATCAAGAATGAATATTCACTGTCACAGATTCAACAACAGTTGAATATAATTGAAAATGTCTGATATCTATCAAAGATCAATCTTCTCTCAGAATACTGGCAGATTTATATAAGCAAACTGTCAGTTCTGCAAATCATGTTTAATACACAATGAGAGAAGTTCAAATTTCTGACAATGTCATTCAGTCTGACAAATGCATTCATCATCTTTTAAATGATAATGAATATGATTCTTTATAAACAGAATGAAATCTCATATCTTATATATCTTGATGACATTCTAGTCTTTTTAAACTCATATAATGAATATCTGAAGCATCTCAATGAAGTGCTTACAACTCTGACAGAGTATAAGCTCTATATCAAATCAACAAAGTGTGTATTTGAAACAGAAGAGTTGAAGTTCATAGAATATATAGTGAGTGATAACTGTATATATCTCATCTCAGAGAAATTGAATGTCATAGTGAATTAGCTGTGACTGAGAAATATACATTATATACAACAGTTTCTTGAGTTGATCTCATATTACTGTAGATTTATCAAGAATTTCACATGAATATCTGCATCACTCTCAGATCTCTTAAGAGAAATAAATGCAAATCTGTGAAAGAAGAAGTTTTATTCAATCATCTGAAATACTGTATATGAAGAGGCTTTTCTCACATTGAGAGAATATATAATAATATTCTTACTACTTATTTAATCAGATTATAATAAATCTGTCTACATTGAGATGAACACATCTGAATGAGCTATCAAAGGCGCTCTTCTACAGATGAGTAAGAATGACAAGCTGCATCTGATAATGTACAATGATAGGAAACTATTGAGTACTGAGCTCAATTACTCAGTGTATGAAAAGAAATTACTAGTGATCAAGCATGCACTGGTGTTATGAGATAGATATATTGATAACAGATATATAATAACAGTGATCATAGATCATGAAAGCCTCATCTATCTACAATCAACAATAAAACCTTTTAAATGCTTAGTATATTGAATCTCAGAGTTTTAAGTGTATAATCTTCATATTAAGTACTGAAAGAGATTGAATACTATGATATCTAATACAATCAGTTGCAGATCTGATTTCATAAGTGAGGATTCTACAAATCAGATATAAGAGAAGTTTGTATTAAAAATGCTGAGAGAGTGCAAGGAATCAGAATAAGTAAATATAATGATCTCTTACTTAAAGAATGATAAGATGTCAGATGACAAGCATCTTATGAAAGTAGTAGAAGAGATGCTTCTGAACTTTAAGCAGAGAGAATTGAAAAATGATGTTGTGCTTTATCACAATCTAGAATATGTGAAAGCTCTCTATCTAGAATATTCATTTAGATATGACTTAATGACTTGTATGCACAAGGAATTCAGTCCCTTAGAAAGCTCTGAACTCATGAGTATACTCAAATTAAGAGTATACTGACTAAGCATGGCTGAGAATATTCAGGTATACACTCACAAGTGCCTGAATTATCAGGTCATGAAAGAATCTAAGAAAGGGTTAGAATGTGAGAAAGTACAACATCAGATAAAGTGTATGATACAATCATTTGAATGATGAGAAGTGAATCTCATAGATATATTACTGTGAACATTAAATAGAAATTGATGAATAATCACTGCTATTGATTATACTACTGACTGACCAGTTGTGAAAGCAGTTACAGAGATGATAGAGATAATAGTAGTAAAGTTTCTATATAATGAAATCTATATTAACTATGAAATGCTGTGTGAGATTCTAACTGATAATGATTTGAATCTTGTAGAAGAAGTGATGAGGCATTTCATAAGTCAGTTACAGACAAGATATTGTAGAACAACATCATATCACTCACAGATGAACAGAAAAGTAAAACACTTGAATGAAATCTTGAGTAACATGCTGATGAAATATCTAGTGAACAAGTCTATAAGATTATGAGATGAATATCTCAGTCAGATGCTATTCGTCACATGAATTCAGCAGCATGCAGTCTTCAAGTGTTTATCATTCTATCTATTATATGAATTGCATCCACACATTCTGAAGAATGCTTTGAAAAAGATGAAGAAGAGAACAGCAGTTATGAATGCAGTAGTAGCAGTTGTGAACACAACAGTCACAGATGTGAAATCAAGATTGAAAGAGATCAGTTATACATATATAAAAGCTAATAAGTTACTTCTGAACTGAGTAATTCAATTGAAAAGAATACAAGACTCAGTAGTTAAGGAATTGAGTCTCAAGATGAAAATATAAGTTCTCATATACAATGAGAGCTCTGAGAAGTTTCAATCTAGATGATTTGAGCTCTATAAAATACTCAAATCACATTCTCTGACAGTATATGTATTGAAAGAATCAGAGAGACAGATTTTACACAATTTAATAAATAATTCATATCTTATGAAGATAAAGATATAAGATCTGAGCAGATTATAATCATTTACAGCACTCACATCAGTATTAAAGAAGAAGAGACTTATAATGAAAAAGTCTCACAAAGTAAGAGAAATTATAAACACTTATGAATCAGATAATCTCACTTATTCTGATCTTTTCACAATTATAAGAAAAGAATGAGAAGTAATGAAGAAATCAGATGAATATCACACTTCAATAAGTGATGAGACTGTAGTCAGTCATATGATAATGTGCTGCAGATAGCAGATACAATGTGACAAAGAGCAGTCTCAAAGCAGCAGACTTGTACATAAGTCAGATTACAGAAGAAAAAGAAATTCAGAGTTGAATTCAACTGTTTATATCAGTTCAATTGTAGAGACAATAGAGGATGAATTATTTAAAACATCTGCAGATACATGAGATTAAGTCATCTTGACTTCTGAAGATGCTCAGAGATCAGATGAGATTAGTTTCAATGAGCTGTTCACTGTAGTGATCTGAGCAGATGAAGAGAGACAGTATAATGTGTAAGACAGAATCACAAAAGATAGAAGCTGCTGAACCTAGTCACTGAATACTGTATTATATAGAGATTGTGTAAGAGTAGTGACTAGCAGACAAAGAAAAAGTATAAGAAAAGAAAAGAGATAATAAATTGATTATCAACTGTAAGAGTCAGTGATAAAAGACAAATGTTATCATATATATCTTATTCATTTTTATATATTACACATTTAATCTATTTTCAATGTCACATCATCTGAAAAATGCTAAAAATAAAGAAAATCTCAAAACTTGAGATCTGTAAGGAATTTGAGAACTGTAAGCTACTCTCACAATAATACTGTGCATGTCTCTGATTTCTCTACTGCTCTGTGTATGACATTAATATCATTTATCACAAGATTGACTGAAATGCCAATATAGAAATGTTTATGCATATACATAGAAAAATTGAAGAAGAGCACAGAATATGCAGGATCAGAAGTCAGAACAGAGAGAGCAGAGACAGAAGAAATGAAAGAAGAAGAAGATACAGAACTGAATGAATGATGACAGAAGTCATCTAGAGCTGAATACTTATAATCTAGTATATATATCATCTTCTCTGCAGAAGAGAGAGAGAAAGTGATGAGAGAAGCTTGAGAGTGAGAGAGAATAGTCTCAGCAGTGTTATCATCTTCAATTAAAATAATCTCTGACACTGAAGTAACTAAGAACTATTGTTAGTATATGAAACTGTAAAAGCAGAGATAATAATTATCAAATAAACATCTACTGATCTTAGAATTATATGTATAATTACAACATGCATGAGACTTTTCAGAAAGAGAGAGAGAGATATGAGAGAATATAGAAAGTAGAATACAGCATGTAAACAGCTCATTTTCACAATGATATCTCAGATAAGGTGTACAAGTCTCACATCTGTGAGTGTAAAAGAGTATAACATTCATATTTCTGTTTCTGAAAACACAGATATTCTTTATCTGTATCACGAAGTTGAATGATAAATATCAGAGAATAGACTGATATGAGTCAATCATTCTGAAGATATTTATCAGAGTGAATGTACCTGTAATATTGAATTTAATAATTATAAAAAGTTTCTTAATATCTGTGAATGCTATGACTTTATATATAATAAAACTCATAACAATTTTCTTTAAGAACAGGAAAATCAGTGTCAGAAAGAGAAGATGAAAAAAGAAAAGACTTATAATCTTAACACTGTTAAGAGAGAGAGTGATTCTTCAGTATAAATGAATAATTATTTCATCATAAATATTTAAAATGAATATAATAATCAGTGTCTGCAGTCAAGCATTAGATAGTTGTATCATATATAGTCTTTGTACAATAAATTATTCTAGAGATTGATAAGAAGAGTGAGAGTATATACACTGAGAAATATAATTCATTAAGTCTATATAATATCTTCTTGAAATAGGGAGAGCTGATAATGAAAGCAGAGACAGCAGAATCAGAGAGAGCAGAGATAGCAGAAGTGAGAGAATCAGACACAGAGACAGAGGTAGCAGAAGCAGCAGAATCAGACACAGAGACAGATGTAGAAGATTGAGAGAGAGTAGCAGAGAAAGAAATAGAGAAGATAGAGAAAGACACAGAAGACTCAGTCATACATAACACAGACAATTTCTTTATTATCATGTTCTTCAAGTTCTCAATCAATAATTTAACATTGAGATCATAATCATCAGTGAATGTAGATCTGTCAACATGTGAAGATTCTATATAAATTAAAATAGAAATATCAGCATCTGCAGTCATATAAAATGATCAGAAAAACATGATCAGAAAAACATGATCAGATGCTGCTGAAGAAAAGAGAATCAGAGATGTATGAGAAGATGAAGAAGATATGTTATTTATAATAGTATATTTTAATGATTGTTAGAAGATAAACAAGTTCTGATCACATTTCACAATGTGTTATACTTACTGCTAATGAACTGCTTGATATGAGTACTGTAAGAATGCTTGTTATGAGAATGAGAAGCCATTGCTAGAAACATGTATAATGTGATAGATGAACAACAGATAGAAGATGTTGAACAGAAGAAGGAACAGAAATCTTGAATGAGATGATAGTATTTAATGATGATAATGATGAAGAAGATGATTGAAGAATGAGAAAAGTTAGTAAATAAGTGATATAATATAGTGAAAGTTTCTTTATGAGAATGTATGTGAGATGCTAGCCGAATCAGGGATAGGTCACATAATCGTGAACACTAGTGATATGCTAATCCGCATGAAGCTCAGGTGTATGTCATGGTCATGTGAGTGTGGCCAAATCTGGTGAGGAAGAATGTGGTTTGGAAGAATGTATGACTGCTGAATAATAACGCGGCTGCTTCTGAACTTGCTTATGAATGTAAAGGGGCCATAGCGGCCACCAATTAACTTAGCGTACAGTATATAAGAAGCCGGCGTATGCCTGTAATCGTACGCTGGCTCAAGCAACCTTTGAATCACATATGCAGTCAGAGACTATGACATCTACCTGAGAACTTTTAGTTCTCAGGGTTTTTCCTATATCTATAAAGTTAACTATTATACATTTATCAATTTCAGATATGCAAAATCAGAAAATTCCAGCCCAGAATATAAAAAGTGTTTATAAATTGCAGTATTTTAACACCTTCTGATACTTCAGAGCCATTTTATAATATCATAATAAAAGAAAAGAGAACACAGTCTTAAAGATAGACATATTAAATAGATAGATAGAAAAGAATAAAAAAGGAAAAGTAAAGAAAGACTATAACAAATCAAAATTATTAACAGATAGTATATAGCTGTTTTAACAGACTACATTCAATTAATTTACATCTCTTCATATTCAGATACTTCTGAATTCAGCTGTTTTCTTATAACTGCTTAAGTTTCTGATAGAAAGTCTATTAGATATTTAATTCCTGTCTCAGTTGAGAATAAGAATCTTATATTTAATTGATTTAAATCATACTTCTCTTTCAATCTGACTCTGAGACTATTATATAATGCATAATATATTACAATATACTCACAATTTTCATTTGCATTGCAGAACAAGCATTCTGTTGAATCAAATCTAGTATCAAATCTTTGTATATAAGATTTGAAATAATTATGTTCTAGTTTCAGCTGAATTATAGATAAGAATATTTTCTTTTTACATTTAATTATACAAGATTTTCACTTAGATCTTATCTCAAATCTTGAATAATGTATACTCTTCATTTGTTTCTGTCAGCTTTTATTTCACTTGTTTAAATAAGATTCTTTTATCTTTCTCTTTATAAAAGACCTGAACACTGTTTTTTGAATAGAATTATCTAATTCTGAACTCCTTCTAGCTGCTGAATCAGTCAATTCATTGTCATGAATATTCATATAAGCAGGAACTCAGTGTAAATAAATTATTAAATTTAATATTCTTTGCTTTTGACTCTTCATAACAGAATTTAAAATCAGTTCAAGATTTATTTAATTATTATGAATCTGACTATTGTTAAGTCTTTTCAAAGCAGCTTAACTATCAGAGAATATTCATATCTCTTTCAAGTTATTTCCTCTTTTATAAGATTTTATCTCAATAAGTTTGAAAGCCTTTACTATTATAAATAGTTCAGCATCAAAGACTTCAGATTCACAGCTCAAATTTTAGAAATCTGAGATGAAATTGATATTATCTTCAGTATAAGCAATGTCTGCATCTAATTCATTCAAACTCTCATTTTTTAAGTCATCTGAGTAAATCAGAATAGAGGCTTTTGTATTTATTATAGAGATCTTCTTCAAATACTGTTCATATCATCTCTCTTTAGATAGTTCATATATTTATAAGTCTATGAGAGATTTCAGCTTTTCTCTTCAGAGAGATATCTTCTCATGATCAATTTTCTTAACATTTAATAAAGAAAATTAAATTTTGATCAGTGAATATAGTTTATACAGTTAAGAGAGCATTTTCTTTGAAACACTATTCTCATTTCAATCAAGAAATCTATTTCAATTCAGTTCATTTTCTGAGTTAATTAATGAAAATGAAGAAGAGACTCTTTCTCTGATTATATGATTTAAGCTCATCTTCATGACTCTCAGAGCATAGTTCATGCAGGTCTTTTCAAATCAACTAGTAGAAGATGAAATTGAAGCTTCAATTTTCATTGTTTTAGTAGAAGGTGATTTGAATGCTTTCAGAATTCTTCTCAAAGCTCTGTTTTATAGACTTTGATAGAGTTCAGTGAAATTATCTTAATTATTTCATTAAATCTAAACTTTATAATCAGCTACTGAGATGATACAGGCTATGTATAATTGTCTCATAGCCTGAAAGAATAGATCTCTCTCAGTATTTGATAGTCTGATTACACTATTCAGTAGTCTCTCTGCCTTGATGATTCTTTGTTGAATATGATATTTAAAATTCAACTTAGAGTTTAAGCATACTTCTAGTCATTTGACATTCAAACTGGGTTTAATCTCTTTATTCAAAAGAGTTAGACTTAGGTTTTTCTCATTGAATCTTGAAAAAAAGTGAATTAGCTCAATTTTATTCATATTAAATTAAATTAGATTGATATCTGCTCTAACAAAGATTTTCTTTACTACTTTCTCAATCACTTCTAAATTCTCTTTGATTGTCTTTAAACTGTAGACTAGATCAATATCATCTATATAACTTGAAGATCTTACTATTTTCATCTCTCTATTCTTGAATAGATATGCACTGTATATTATAAATAGAACTGATGAGATAGAAGATTCTTACAGTACTTCTATTTCTATCTCAGTCTTATCTTATTTCATTTCATCAAAGAATAGATGTATAATTCTTTTAGATATAAAACAGTTAACTCATTTTATTAGAGCAAGTGACAGTTTTAACATCTTTAGAGTTTGAATTATCTTAGACTTTGAAACATGATCAAATGTATCTGTGGCGGGCTGCGCCCGATCAATTATATAGACTACTCCATTACACTCCATAGATTCCGCGAGAAGCTCCGATTCTCGGCCATTCTCGATCGCCGATCCTCGGCCGCTACGAACGCGTATAAATTCTCCCGCCCCGAAGCTCCACCGCGTACGCCACCACATACACATATAAATATCCACTTCAATCACTGATTCTCGCACTTTCTCTTTCCTTTTCTTCTTTAATGTTTTTCACTTTGTTATATAAGACCTATATATTATACTGATCTATTCGGCGTAGGCCTCTTATACTTGAAAAATGTTCATCATCTTCTCATCAGAAATGATTATTCATTGAGAAGATATCTGAACACATAATAACATGTAAGAAATAGAAAACAATCAAACAGTTAAGTGAACAACAAGTCTTCAGATAGAAGCTTGCTTATCAGTCATTCTGGCCCTGTAATAAAATCTTACAAGAGAATGTCAGTAAAAGATCTGAGAGTTCTGACATTCAGATGTATGAGATATTCATATAATTATACTTCTTCAGATTTCACAGATATCACACATTTAATAAACAACATGTCTAATGACAATATGAGAGAACTCTCAAACACAAGTATAGAAGTAATACCACAGTGACTCTGAGCAATGTTGAAATTATAACAGTAACAGATAGTCAACATGCATACAACTCAATAACTTCAATATGAGGAAATTTAATAATTAACTTAACAGAGAACTCATGCAACTTCAGCATCTACAGAATTAAATACAAAAGCACTGAAAGAATACTTAGATACTGTCATATATTTTAATACTTTCAATCTCACTCTCTACTCATCATAGAGTATGGAAATGCTCATAAAACTGAGTGTAGATGAAGATGCTATCAGTTCATTAATCAATCAAGATTGATATCTCAATAAACAATTAAAGAATTGCATGAATAGAAGTTTCATTCATGAATGAAAGTATGTGAATCAGCATTGCAAATATCTGATAATATCATCAAACATCTTAACATTCTGTTTCAAGACACTGTTATACAACAGAAAGAGTTAGATTGATTACAGAGTATCTGACAGAGCAACACTTCTCTCACAATATTCATTCCTGACTTTAACATCAATATTCTAGAAGTGAGTGATTAATCTTGAAAGAATTGAATGAAGATTAGTATGCTGAAGAAGACATTGACTTTCAAACTCTTACAGGCTTCTATAAGTGTAAACAAAGACCTGACTTACAAAGACTTCTATACATAACTTCAGACATTGAATGATCATCTTATCAAGCTCAAGAGTATACAGAACAGTGATAGAAGATGTTACATCTCAGTCACTTATACACTCACATCTGTGCTGAAGAATAACAATAACAATACAGATGCTATGAACTGAGTAGACTCAAATGTCTATATATAAGCAAGAGTCTTCACTGTTTGAACAGGCTTCTGAGTTCCTGAGATCACTTCTGAAGAAGTTGCTGACTGATGTCAATGTGAAGTATACATCAACTGTAATTAATCAGAACACATTGCTTTCAACTGCTGATTAATCTATATGTCTTCTCACTTGAGAGAAAGATCAGTGTCTTCTCACTCAAAGAATGAATCAGTGTCTGTTCATATCAACCACATTGCAGTGAAGAAAGATTTAGAAGATAACTATGAGAATGCTTCAATGAAACAGGGAAAAGTTTAGCTCCTGTTTAAATTTATAAACAGAAGCTTGAAGAGATCAGATAATAACAATTTGAAGAAAAGATAATAATGAATGTGATTCTTGTATCTACTGTGATAAATAAGATGTATAAT